ATTAGCAATATTCTGTTAGGAAAAACAAAAAATGAAGAAAAACTGGAAATACGTTATCATCTGTTTAGGAAATATTTTTTTCAAATTACACCACCCAACACATTCGAGTACCTTAATCAACAACATTTACCTTATTATCATTACAATACTCAATTTTTGTATGATTCTCAGAGAAACGTTCTCTCTCTCGCTCTCCCAAACATTATTTCATGAGAATTATTTTGTTATGTCCAAATAATATTGGGTTTCCTTATGTTACGTTATATCAACATAACTACACTCATTTAATACCATTCTCTCATATCACTTCACTCTCTCACCCTCTTTTCGTTAAATATCTTGTTATTTTTCTCCAGACATGATATTTTTATGTTACGTCTACATTACGTTACGTTACTGCTTAACACATTCAATACCTCACCCACAATATTAGTCTCACCACCACATTACTGTAAACAACATTCCATATCTCCCTCTCTCTCTCACTCTCTCACTATATATCTTGTTAAACTCCGTTATTATGTTTTTTCTTACGTTAAAGTTACCATTACGTTACGTCAATGCATAACTACACTTTAACCAAATAAAAACCTAAAAAAAAATAAATTTGTTAAGTTTGAATATTTTTTACAAAAAAAAAAAAACTCAATAAAAACAGCCGAACAAAAAAATACTTTAAAACAAGATTTTTTATAAAAAAGGCTAACCGAAAAAAATTGATTAACAACAAAACTTGTTTTTTTACATTTGTTTAAAATAAAAACAAAACAACTTAAACTAAGTTTAAATTAAATTTGTATTTTACATAACAACAACAAGAAGAAGAACAACAAACGAAAGAGAATAAAACCAATTAACAATGCCTGTAACTTCTAAACTATCTCTTAAAAAGTCTCTATCTCTTTCTCTCAAAAAAAGCAAAAAAAAAATACAAGGAAACAAGAAAATACAAAAAAAAAAAAAAAACAGAATATATGAAACAAAGAATGAAAAACAAAAATAAAACAAACAACAAAATGCACAATAAACTTTAATATTATAATTAAAAAAAAATGAAAACAAACAAAACTCCCAAAACTCATTACCCCATTTCTCTTGACATCAAAACAATTTTTCTCCCCTCTCTCTCTCATTCATATTTTTTTCTACATCAAACCCACAACTCATTGACTCCAACCCCCTTCAAAACAAACCCCAACAACAGCATCTTATTGTATTTATAATTTTTAATATACAAATAACAACAAAACAAACAAAAATAAATTTAATAACAAAATACCAAAAAACAAAAAAAACTTAATTCGTAAATAATACAAAGAAAATGTAAAAATAACAACAAAACAAAAACAAACAAAAGTTAAACCAGATAATTATTAAAGCGAAATTTTTTCACACTTTAGCTTAATAAATTGTAAAATAAAACCAAAAAAAAAACAACAACAAACAAAGAAAACTGAGAAATAAAATGAAATTTAATTGAATTTGTTATGCAAATGGAAAAAAAATATTTGATTCGAAGTTTGATTTTTTTAGGAAAAGCCCAACTAAGGGATGAAAGGAAAAAGAGGGGAAAGGGTAAGTAATTCTTGCTCAAATTTGGCTGGAAACTGAGCGAGGGCAATGTGGGAGAGCTGCAAAGTCGGTGTTTTAAAAAGAGCGAGCGAATTAAAGGATTCGAGCTGACTCTTGGGGGAGTCTGAAGGGTCAGAATTGTACTCGTCGTCGCCAAAGATGAACTGAAGGGCAGGGCTATCTCTAAGAAAAAGGGGTCAGCGTTGACTCCAGAGGCAATCAAAGTGTCTATAGGCAAAAGTGTCTCCGAGGCAAAATGAAGAATCAGCGCAGTCTCAGGACAAACTTAAGGGTAAGCAACGTCTCTGTAGGCGAAGTGAAGGGTCGGAGTTGTCTCTACAGGGAGATGAAGGCTCAGCGCTGTCTTATAGGCAAACCCGAGGGCCAGCGATGTCTCCAAAGAGAGCTGAAGGATTAGCACTGCCTTAGAGGCAAATCTAAGGGTCAGATGTGCCTCTATAGTCTGGGTGAAGGGTCAGCGCTGTCTCAGAGGCTTTGGGTCTATAGGCGACGTGAAGGGTCAACCTCATAGGAAAAATTTAAGGTCAGGGTTGTCTGTATAGGCGAGGTGAAGGACCAGCGTTGTCTCAGAGGGCGATTTAGGGCCAGCGCTGTCTCAGAGGAAACATTAAGGATCAGCGGTGTCTCTAAATGCAGGGTGATGGGTTAGCGTTGCCTCTAGTGGAAATTGAAGGATCAGCGCAGACTCAGAGTAAAAATTAAGGATCAGCGATGTCTCAATAGGTAAGGTTGAGGGTCAGCTTTGTTTCAGAGGGATATGAAGGGTCAGCGCTGCATCAGGTGAGGTGAAGGACCAGCCGTTATCTCTATAGCCAGCGTTATCTCTATACGTAGCTGAAGGGTCCGCGCTGTCTCTAGAGAGAGATGAAGGGTCAGCTGAGCCTCTAAAGGGGAGGTGAAGGGTCAGCTTTGTCTCTAAAGGTGGCTGAAGTATCAGCGCTGTCTTAGTGTCAAACTTAAGGCAGTGTTCTAGAGAGGGCTGAAGTATCAGCGCTGTCCTAGGGGCAAACCTAAGGGTCAGCTGTGCCTCTATAGACGGTGTTGAGGGTCAGCGGGGTCTCTATAGGCGAGGTGAAGCGTCAGCGATGTCTCTAGAGAGAGCTGGATGGTCAAAGTTGTCTTAAAAGCAAACCTAAGCTGTTCCTCTGTAGTCTAGTTGAAAGGTCAGCGTTGTCTCTAGAGTGAGCTGAAGAGTCAGCGTTGTGTCAGAGGCAAAACTAAGAGCTCAGTGGTGCCTCTATAGGCGTGATGGAGGGTCAGCGCTATCTCTAGAGGCAGCTGAGGGGCAAGTGCTGTCTCAGATGCAAATTTTAGTATCAGCGGCGTTTTTAGAGGGAGCTGAGGGTCAGCGGTGTCTCCACAGGCGAGGTGAGGAGTCAGTCGTATGTCAGAGGCGAAATTAACAGTCAGTGGTGCCTCTATAGGCGTGGTAAGGGATCAGTGGGGTCTCTCGAGGGAGCTAAAGGGTCGGCGCTCTCTGAGGCAAAATTTAGGGTCAGAGGGAAAATTAGGGGTCAGTGGTGCCTCTATAAGCGAGTTGAAGGGTCAGCGCTGTCTAAGAGATAAACATAAGGGTCACTGTTGTCTCTATATACGTCCCGTTATCTCTGTAGGGACTTGAAGGGTCAGAGCTGTCTAAGAGATAAACATAAGGGTCACTTTTGTCTCTAGAGAGAGCTGAAGGCTTTCAGCTTTGTTTCCTCAGACAAGGGCAACCCTCAAAAGTCCTTTTAGACAATATAAAGGGGCAGCGACGGTCTACGTCCACGTTTTCATATAGCCCCCATATAACGGTACCTCCCGATATTCGGTATTTTGATGATTTTAGCGTCATTATTCACCGGGATTGTTTCAAATTACGTATTTAGAGCTCGTAATGGGATCTACAGTCTGTGACAGAAAATTGTCTATGTAGGTCCAGGTCTTCGTATAGTCCCCATAATTCAGTACCTCCCTATATTCGGTATTTTGATGATTTTGGCGTCACTATTCACCGGAATTGTTTCAAATTTGCTATTTGAAGTTCGAAATAGATACTACAGACAGAAAATTGTCAGTGCAGGTCCAGGTCTTCGTATAGCCTCCATATAACGGTACCTCCCGATATTCGGTATTTTGACGATTTTGGTACAATACCCACCGAAATTGTTAGAGATGTCGTATTTGAAGTTCGAAATGGATACTACAGCCTCTGACAGAAAATTGTCTATGCAGGTCCAGGTCTTTGTATAGCCCCCATATACCAGTACTTCCCTATATTCGGTATTTCGATGATTTTGGCGTCACTATTCACCGGAATTGTTTCAAATTAAGTATCTAGAGTTCGTGATGGCAACTACAGTCTGTGACAGAAAATTGTCTGTGCTGTCCTAGGTCTTCGTATAGGCCCCATATATCAGTACCTCCCTATATTCGGTATTTTGACGAGTTTAGTTATATTACCCACAGAAATTGTTTGAGATGTAGTATTTGAAGTTCGTAATGGAATAATGGAACAGCCTATGAGAGAAAATTATCTATGCTGGTCCTCCAGGTCTTCGCACAGCTCCAATATAACGGTAGCTCCCTACGATACGATATTTTGATGATTTTAGCTATATTATTAACCGTTTATTTCAAGTTTCGAATTTGAATATGGTAATGACTTATGACAAACAATGCCTATGAGGGTCCACGTCGTATAGGCACCATTATAACGGCTATATTCGGTATTTTTTAAATTTAAATAGAATTTTTTAAGGATTTTATTTCCAAATTCGTTTCAAATGTTGGAGGGTATTCAAAATTCGGCCTGGCCAAACTTAATGCTTTTTATTTTTTTTTTTTTTTTCAAAAAAAAAAAATATTCAAAATATTAACAAATATTTTAAATAAAACACCTTTAACAGCTTATAATTATAATAAAACATAGATAGTATTTTTATTTATTTATAGATTCATGATTTCTTACAAAGTAAATAAATTTATGTATATATATATTTATATTTTATATAAAGTAATATGTATATATATGTCTGTGTGTGTATTTATAAAAAGAGAGAGAGAGAGAGAGGAAATTCTAGTTTGTTCTCAACGGGGAATTTTAATAAAAAAATATTAATTTTTATTATTTTGTATTTATTTTTAAGATATTAAAATATTAATTTTTATTATTTTTTTTAACAGGAAATTGCACTTAAATCCAATAAGGAATTTTTATTTTTTAAAAAAAAGTGTTTTTTTTTTTTGGAAATTAGAAAATATGGCCTTAAAAGATATTTTCTTTTTCTCTCTGACTAAATTTTTTTATTTTTCTGAAAAAAAAAATATTTTAATTTAAAAAAAATATATATATTTTATTTTAAAAAAAATATATATTTTAATTTAAAAAAAAATATTTTAATTAAAAAAAAATATATATTTTTTTTTTTTTTTTTTTTTGATAAACCAAAATTTTAAGCTGAGAGCTAAATATTTTCAAAAATATTTAAAGCATAGCGAAAATTAAATTTTTATATTTAAATAGATAAGGAAGAAGGATAAAATTAATTAAAATTAAAAAACTAAAGATTACAAATTAAAAATAATTAAAATTAAAATTTAAAAAATTAATTGACAACATCTCGCTTGTCACGTTGACTAATTTGAGCCATGGTTATGTATTGGCGTACCAAACGCGATATCTCATGGGCCTGTTCGGTTTGGACCCTTATGACACGCTGCTGCATCAGATTGCCCACCTTCATGTCCAAAAACAAGGCACCATCCTCGGAACGTACCTAAAGACAATAAAACAGACATTTTAACATTTTCTAAAAGAATTTTTTCTCTTTTTCTCAATCCTACCTTGCGCGTGGAGATAACCTCCATAAACGGCCAATGCTGCATGGTCTCATGGGTATTGGGATCCAGGAACAGTACGCCACGACGATTCAATGCCAATATCAAATCTCTCCACATGGGACTGTCATCAACATGGGGACCCTCTTCGGCCCAGATACGTTTCACCGCAAAGAAACTGCTGCCGAACAAAGGCCATGCCGACAAAACATTCAAGAACTGGGCCTTCACCTGGCCCGGACTTAGATTTGCAATTTGTGGCCAGGCCGACTGGACCAAACCCACCCATTGGGCGGGTCGTATTTCTCTAATACCTAAAGCGGGTTTAGGCAAAAGGAATTTGATTTCCTTCATGGCTGGTACATGACTCAAATCGGCGGCCCGATGCAGTAATGCTGCAATGCGTGCCATATCTCTCACCACTTCGGGGGGCGGTACACCATTACCGGGCAGCTCCAGCAGTAAACCTTCCAAATAATCCGGAGCAACTTGATTGAAGAGAACCTCCACATAGAGCGGTGTGGGAGCAGGATCTCTCTTTAGGGGGAAATGCCACACTGAACGGCAGAATATCAAATAGAAAGGCTGGCCTGATTTCAGTAACTCTGTGGTAACATCCAAAATATATTCATCGGCAGCCAGGGGCATTGTGAATGCATCACCCTGTACAATGCAGTACAGAGAGAACTCCTGCTGCTCGGTTTCAGATTCAATGCCCAGCAGGGCACATAGTTCGGCAATGACATCAGCCACCACCGTTGAACAACGGGTGTTGACCACACGTTCCGCCCCGCCGGGTAAACGATAGATTTGTCTACGTGCCGAACGTCCTGCAGACACTGCCGTGACCTCCTCCACACTGGGTACATTTTTACGGCCACCACATCGGGCGGTTTTACGTAGATTTGTTAGACACACCGCTGCCGTACCATGGCATGAACGTCGCCGATCCGAGGCAGCCGATGTTAGATGTTCGAGCAGATATGGACGCAGCGCATCCGAACAGCCAAAGTATGCAGCCAAAATACTGAGTAAACGCCAACCACGCTGAGCCGAATCGTGACAGGGTGAACGGTTGGCTGTCGTCTGTTTCATTAACTGGCAATAGACTTCGTCGCGTAGGGCCAAATATTTGTGACAATGCTGGAAAGAGAAAGAGGGGAGATTTTTAGTTTTTTTCTTTTTTAGGAGATAAGAACGAAGAGTATTTGTAGCGAGCTGAAGAGTCCGTGTACCCTCTATAGGGGAGATAAAGGTTCGGCGTTACCTATATAGGGCAGATGAAGGGTCAGAGTACCCTATTTGGGAATGCAGTTGTGTCAGGGTGCCCCATACAGAACAGCAGCCTCATAGAGGATATCTGAAGGATCACCGTAACCCATACAGGACAAGTGAAGGTCAACGTGTTTTATAGAGACAAGCTGAAGGCCAGCGTACCTTATTCAGGGGAGTCAAAAGGTCAGCGTACCTTATAGAGGGGAGCTAAAAGGTCAGCGTACCCTATACAGGACAACCGAAGGTCGGCATGCCCCATAGAGACAAGCTAAAAGGTTAGAGTACCCTACAGAGACAAGCTGAAGGGTCGGCGTGCCTGTAGAAGGGAGCTGAAGGGTCAGCGTGTCCTACAAAGGCAATCCCAAGTATCAGCGTACCTTATAGAGGGGAGTCGAAGGGTCAGCGTAACCTATAAAGGGCAACTCAAAGTCAGCGTGTCCTATAGAGAAAATCTGAAGGGTCAGTGTGTCCTACAGAGACAAGCTGAAGGGTCATCGTATCTTACAGATAAGCTGAAGATCAGCGCGCCTTACTGAGAGGAGCTAAAGGATCAGGACAGGACAATTGAAGGTCAGCATGTCCTATAGAGAAAATCTGAAGGGTCAGTGTTTCCTACAGAGGCAAGCTGAAGGGTCATCGTATCTTACAGATAAGCTAAATATCGGCGTGCCTTACAGAGAGGAGCTAAAGGTTCAGGACAGGACAAATGAAGGTCAGCGTGTCCTACAGAGGCAAGCTGAAGGGTCAGCGTATATTTCAGATAAGCTGAAGATCAGGATCTAAGGATAAGGACAGGACAGTAGAAGTTCAGCGTGTACTATAGAGAAGGACTGAAGGGTCAGTGTGTCGAAAAGAGGCAAGTTAGAGGTGTGCGTGTCCTACAGAGCCAAACTGAAGGTCATCGTATCTTACAGATAAGCTGAAGATCAGCGTGCCTTACAGAGAGGAGCTAAAGGAGCAGGAGAGGACAACTGAAGGTCAGCATGTCCTATAGAGAAAATCTGAAGGGTTAGCGTGTCGAAAAGAGGCAAGTTAGGGGTGTGCTTGTCCTACAGAGACAAACTGAAGGTCATCGTATCTTTCAGATAAGCTGAAGATCAGGAGCTAAGGATAAGGACAGGACAGTAGAAGGTCAGCGTGTACTATAGAGAAAATCTTAAGGGCCATCGTGCCCTATAGAGGAAAGTTGGAGGATAGCGTGTACTACAGAGGCAAACTTAAGGGTCAGTGGACCCATTATGGGAAAGCTGAAGGATCAGTGAGTCCTGGGTACACCGACTCTTCCGTTTTATGGAACACGTCCTTGGTTATCCTAAAAAAATGCTGATCCTCCACGCCGCTTTCAACGAATCCCAGATCCTTTAGCTGACTTTTAAGGATTCCCTCAGATTCTCTTCCCCCCCCCCTCCTTCTCCCCCTCGTTCTACTTACCATTAGCACCGTATAGACACATTTAACTTCGGTCAGATCCGGATCCATGGGTATATCGCCACAATAGCATAATATACACTCAAAGCATTCTAAAGCTAGCGGGGCCAAGTCATTGGGTAAACGTAGCAAAGGTGTCCTTATCGGTACACCCTGCCACTTAACCAGCTCGGCATATGAACGATTTGAGGAACGTTCCGATGAGTCACGGCCATGGGAACGGGAATCGTGGATTTGACTGGAAGAAAAATATAAATTGAGTAAAAAAATTCTCTCTCTCGCTCTCTCTCTCTTTTACTCTCTTGAGTCGTGACTTACTCATTTCTAAAATGTTGCATGGCAAATTGAAGTAAAGAGTAGCGGGTCACTGAGGGTGAGGTGGAACCACCACCATTGTGTTGATCCTCTGCCATGTAGTTGGCATCCAAATTGGAGGGTTGTAGGTGTCCAGGTGTCTGTTGCGGATCCCTCGGATGCATGCCACCACCTTGATGATACTGTTGTTGGGATAATTTGCGTCCGGTGTGTAAATAACTTTGTTGCTTGGCGTATTGCTGATGATGTTCTGCTCCACCGCCACCTCCTCCGCCGCCGCCATAGTGATCACGTTCTATTAGCCTTTCATCGTCCAGCTCATTATGACCATTGTAGTGGTGGCCACGTTCACCCGCCACCGGCGAATGATGATGATCCAGGGCATCGTGCATGCCATGCATCATGGACCGCGAATGCATTTCATTGCGCGAATGCTGTTCAGCCCTGGAGCTTTGCTCCCCACGACCACCACCACCACCACCAGTGTGATGCATATGATGTTGATGGGTCTCCTCATAAGATCCCGCCATCATGGGCGATGAGGTGTTACGCATAGCCTCCCGATTGCCACCGGATCCTTGGCCGCTCATTTGATGGCCATTATTGGCGGAGGATTGCATTGCCTCGCGATGATTCGATTGTCGTGACTCCAAACGTTCAATGGGCACATTAAGTGTCTGAGCTGCAGCGCGTACACCCGATGACAGGGTTGAAGCTTTCGATTGAGTCTGCAATGGAAATGGATATGAAAGGTTATAAATATTTAAATATGGACAGCTGGACAAATAAAATTCGGAATAAAAAATTGTAACAAATGTCATTTATCAATTGTTCAACATGGTTTTCTGTCCGGCGTTCGGCCGGTCTGTCTGTCTCTCCGTCCGTCATTAATGTGAAAGTGTAAGGTGACACCCATGCCTGGCATGGAATATTAAACAGTTCGAATGGTCTGCAAAACCAGTTAATAGCTAAACGATTGGCCAAAAAGGCCATGGTAATGGCCTCCTGCATTGCCAATTTTCGGTTCATAACCAAAGATAAGTGTTATATCCGTGTGATTTGAGTTCGGATGCCAAAGCCAAATCGCTACCATTCCGAACGGCAATAAAACATTATTGACCGTAAAATGTTAATTGTCTAAAACATTTTGGCCAAATACCTCACATCAATTGGCGGATTGGCAGCAAATACAGCAATGTTTGGTCTTTTGGCTGGCTTTCCATTTGTTATCGATTTGTCGGATGGTAACGACTAGCCATGGCCATGTAATGACACCTCTTTTTTGTTATTCGAATTCGATAAGTGGCCAAACAACCCGGCCTATAAATTTCATTGTGACAGCCGGACATCTCTAATGGCTTAGATAAATTACAACAATTTGTCTCATTTTTTGGCAGAGATTTTGAATTTAAAAAAAAAATGAAATAAAGGAAGAATTGACGAAAGGGGGTTCAGAGTGGCTCTAAAAAGAGCCTATGGGGGTTTTATGAAATGCATTAACAGTCAGATCAACCCAAAGAAATCCTGAGCATTCACGGAGCGTTAATTTTTACACCAGAAATTCGAAAGAAACATGAACTCGCTGAGCCCTTAGCTTGCATACGGAGGCACCCTTGAGATTTACTCTTTACCCGAATTTGAGCGAAAATTTCGAGGCTATGGTATGAACCGGAACTTCTTCTAGATACCTGTTAAAACCTCCTCCTATGTTAAAACCTCCTCTAAATCTTTTGCGGATACTCGTTAAACTTCAACTGTACCTATAGAGACTTGAGGAACCTTTAGATCGCTTTTAAAGGATAATTGATAATTTAGCTCACTTAGAGAGTCTCACTAGGCCTCCAGTTAATTTATATAGAATATCTAAGACTTCAGTTATCGTTATTAAGACGTGGACCTGCAGAGACAATTTTCTGTCATAGGCTGTAGTATTCATTACGAACTTAAAATGCGAAATTTGAAACAATTCCGGTAAATAATGTCTCTAAAATCATCCAAATACCGAATTTAGGTAGATACAGTTATATGGGGGTTATACGAAGACCTGGACCTGCACAGACAATTTTCTGTCATAGGCTGTAGTATCCATTGCGAACTTCAAATACTAAATTTGAAACAATTCCGTTAAATAATGTCGCTAAAATCATCAAAATAGCGAATATCGGGAGGTACCGTTATATGGCGGCTATGCGAAGACGTGGACCTACATAGCTAATTTTCTGTCATAGGCTGTAGTAACCATTACGAACTTCAAATGCGAAATTTGAAACAATTCCGATAAATAATGTCTCTATAATCATAAAAATTCTGAATATCGGGAGATACCGTTATATGAGGGCTATACGAAGACGTGGACTTGCATAGTCAATTTTCTGTGACAGGCTGCAGTATCCATTACGAACTTCAAATACTAAATTTGAAATAGTTCCGGTAAATAATGTCGCTAAAATCATCAAAATACCGAATATCGGGAGGTACCGTTATATGGGGGCTATACGAAGACGTGGACCTGCACAGACAATTTTCTGTCATAGGCTGTAGTATTCATTACGAACTTCAAATGCGAAATTTCAAACAATTCCGGTAAATAATGTCGCTAAAATTATCTAAATACCGAATATCGGGGGGGTACCGTTATATGAGGGCTATACAAAGACGTGGACCTGTACACACAATTTTCTGTCATATGCTGTAGTATCCATTACGAACTTCAAATACTAAATTTGAAATAGTTCCGGCAAATAATGTCGCTAAAATCATCAAAATACCGAATATCGGAGGGTACCGTTACATGGGGGCTATAAGAAAACGTGGACCTACATGGCCCATTTTCTGTCTTAGGATGTAGTATCCATTACGAACGTTAAGTACCAATTTTGAAACAATTCCGGTAAATAAATTCGCTAAAACCATCTAAATACCGAATATGGGGGTTACGGTTTTTTGGGGCTATACGAAGACGTGGACCTGCACAGAAAATTTTCCGTATTAGGCTGTAGTATCCATTACGAACTTCAAATACTAAACTTGAAATAGTTCCAGTAAATAATGTCTCTAAAATCATCTAAATACCGAATATCGGGGGGTTCCGTTATATGGGGGCTATACGAAGACGTGGACGTACATGGCCCATTTTCAATACCCGAAAATCCTGTAGACATAATACACATTTGAGTAAAATGTTATTAACCTACTTCATTTCGTTCGGAAGCTAGAGTGATTTCCACAGACGGATAGACGGACGGACGGACGGACATTGCTAAGTCGACATAGAATTTTATGCTGATCATGAATATATGTATATACTTTTTCGAATGACATGGAAAAATTTCTTGATTTAATTTTTTTTTACTCACAGAAGTACCTCCGCTCGATTTCGAGCGAGATTTACTATTTACCCGAATTTGAGCGAAAATTTCGAGGCTATGGTATGAACCGGAACTTCTTCTAGATACCTGTTAAAAAACCTCCTCCTATGCGTTGTGTATACTTTAATTTTTTTCTTACTCAAAGGAGTACTACAACTCGAACTAAGCGAGATTCGCTCTTTACTCGAATTTGGGGAAGTATTTCTGTGAGCCTTAACAACTCTTCTAGACACTTGTGGACCTCCCCGGCTTCCGAGTACAGTCTCTCTGATATATTGCCCTTTGATACTCGCAGAAACTCTAAATATTATACGGATATTCGTTAAACTTCAACTGTACCTATAGAGACTTGAGGAGCCATTACATTATTTTTAGAGGATAATTGAGAATTTAGCTCACTTAGAGAGTCTCACTAGGCCTCCAGTTAATTTATAGAGAATATTTGAGACTTCAGTTGTCTTATTAGGACTGTTTAAGTCTCCAGTTTGTCAATTTGGACTCGCTGAGGACCCATGCTCTCTGAACAGTTAGTCTTTCTGCACCAGGGGTGCTCAAGAAGAAATATCTGTTTTCAGTCAAATTTCTCTTTGCTTATTTAAATCAAGAACAAAACAGTATTAAGTCATTATTTATACAAATATTTTTTATCCATTTGCTTTATAAACTATTTTGGCAAACATTCGTGTTTAAAAACAATTTAATAGAACCGTAAAATATAAAGAAAAACAGAATTTTAATTTTCTCTTAAATTATCTCTTTTTTCTCTTCATGTTCTAGAACACGGTTTTGAGCACCCCTGTTCTGCACCATCAAGCTCTCGGAATCTTCGGCTAAAAGATAAATACTCTTTGCCCCGAGGTCATCAATTCCTACATGACCATTTGAAATATTTTCCTTGTAAAGATACCAAAAGAGCTATGAATATATTACTGTTAAATTTCTCTCTCTCTCTCTCTCTCTCTCTATACACCCTCAAGCTCTCAACGATAAATGGTCTTTGAACATCAATTCCTACCTGACCATTTGGAATATATTCCAATGTAAAGATAGTAAAAATCCTATACAAATTTTGTTGTTAATTTTCTCTCTCTCTCTCCCTTTCACAAAAGACTTAAGACACAAACTTCGAATTTAACTCAGAGAAGAACTTACAACATCATCCCTGAATGAAGAGCGAAGTTCGTTTATTTTATAAAGCCACGAACTCGAATTGAAGGGTAAAAATGTCTCTAAAAAAGATTGAATACACAAACGTCCAAAGAACGAAAAAAATCTCGTTATTGAGAGACTTAGGTCACGAACTGTTTAGGAAGCGCGAATTTTGACTCTTTGAAAGACCTAAGACACGAATTCAGAAATGAAAGAAATAGAACAAAGTTGGTCTATTTTAAATAGACTTAAACTCAGTATGAAGAGATAAAAATTGCCTCTTTTAAAAAGACTTAAGACACAAACGTCCAAAGAAAAGGGAAATACTCTCTGTTAAAAGATTTAAGACACGAACTTTTAAAGGAAAACTATTTGGGTTGCTTTTGAAAGACTTAAGACACAAACGTTTCTTAAAAGACTCAAGACACAAATTCCTAAAGGTTTCGCATTTTTAAAGGACTTAAAAACCGAACTTTTTATTTGTCTCTTTTGAAGGAATTACGCACACAAACTCTGAGAAGAGACCAAGTACTTGTCTCTTTTAACAAGTCTTAAGGCACAAACGTCTAAAGGAACGAAATATACTCTCTGATGAAAGACTTAAGACACGAACACTGAAAAGAGAACACATATTTGCCTCAATTGAAAGACTTAAGGCACAAACGTCCAAAGGAAGGAAACTTTCTGATGAAAGACTTAAGACACGAACTCATGGGAGAAAACGGATTTTGACTCCTTTGAAAGACTTAAGACACAAACTCTATAAATATGAATGACTTTTTTTAAAAGAGATAATTTAGAGGTTTTTTTTTTTTTTTTTGACGAGGGTTTACTTTTTTATTCAATTTTAATATTTCACTAAAACTGTTTAAATCAAAAGAGGAATTTTCATTTTTTTAATTACTTATTTTTAAAGGTTTGATTTTAAAGAGGGTCTATTTTTTATTTATATAATTTTGTATTTTACAAAAAATGCTAAGAGTAGATTTAATTTTTGAAATTTTGAATTAAATTGAAAGTTTTTGGCTTAATGGTTTGATATACAAGTCCATAATTGTCCATAATTATCCATAATAATCCATAATACTCCTAAATTTTCACAGATTAAATTTAGGGTTTCCCCATATTTTATCATCAGGATTTGTATCAAATAACATATAAATCCTGATGATAGAATATAGGAAAATCCAAATTTTAATATATTTTTTATG